GCAACTTTTAAAATTGTGTAAAAAATTAATTTTGATGAAAATAGCTAAAGCAATGTAAGAACATGTATATGTATCAGAAAAATAAAGACTTTTCTTTTTGCAACTTTTAATGAAATACCATGGACTATGCTCAAAATAATTTTTAGAGCACCATACTGTAAAAATTTTAATATACCAAATCCTGTGGTTTTATGCCAGTGGTTTTATGTTTGCTATTTGCTATGCATAGTTCTTTTATGAAAAAATTGTATGCCCTCAATACATGTATTGTATATGAATAGACACAATAGAGTCTATTGTTGTTTACTTGTACACTTATGTACCTTTAGGTTTGAGAACACCATTGCTGGTCAGTTCTTTGGACATTGTCATGAGGACAGGTTTCATCTTATGGTGGACTTTGAACCCGACACTCCTCCTAGACCATATGGGTAAGAGAGGAAAATACACAAACTGTTTGATTAATCATGATTTTTTCTTGTAGTATATTATACCTAGGTCCTAGCGTAACCACTTATTCCTATCAGAATGCAGGATATAGAATTTATACTGTTGATGGTAATTACAATGAGTCCTCTAGACAAGTACTGGATCATGATACATACATACTAAACATTACTGATGCTAATCTTACTAATAAACCAAAATGGATCCATGAATACTCAGCTAAAGTAAGACAATGAGTATTGTAATGATATATTATCATGAACATATAGGATGCATACAATATGACTAATCTCACACCTGATGGCTGGTTATCTTTGCTGAAGGAATTTTTAACTAATAACGATCTCTTTTTAAAATATTATCAGTAAGTGTGCCATTACATACCTTCTATCTGGCATATAATGTTTAATATTACTATTGCTGGAAATTTTTGCCATTATAAGTAGTACTATTATGTGACAATTGCCATTGCTATTTGGCAAAATTTTAATGCACTATAGCCTGCTCATTTTAAAAATTCAGTTTTGAAAAATGTAAAGGGTGATCAAGCCTAAGTTAGCAATGCATTGCATAGATCATTATGATGGCACTGGATTTAGTAAAGTATCATAATCGTTTATTATAGGCACTTATGTAACCTCTAAATGTACTGCATATTCTTTTTATTCCTTATACAAATCTAATACTAGTGCTAGTAAATTTCTTGGTTTAAATTACTATTATTTTACTACTAGTAGTCTATTACCCTCTGTTTTTATGTTTCTCTATCTAGTTTCTTTTTTAAATCATTCGATATGAATTCTCAGTGCTCTGGCTCCTGTCAGCATTCTACAATCTGTTCCTGTTTAACAACTTTCGGTAATGCTTCTGCCTGTGATGCTGTATCACCAAAGACTGTGACAAAAGAACAAATGATGCTGTATGCGAAAGCACATGACCACTGCTAAGATACAATTAACATTAAAATGTCTTATTACATTACTGCTTTATGTTCACATTAATTTTATTATTGTCAAAAATAATTAATTTTTAAAACTCCGCCTTGTTTGAAGGTGTGGTGGTGGTGTGATTTAAGCCACAGGAAATTAATTTTGTTTGTTTTGCGAAGAGAGAAAGATGGAAAAGAAAGGGTGTTCTTTCGTGTTTCTCTGCTTAGCTCTGTTGTATGTCACTCGGCCAGTTTTATTGGCTTCTTTGAAGGGCATAGACTTGTCTAAGTCGGGCCTGGGCTCCAGCATATTGTGCGACACTTGTATAGGGCTGGTGACAACTGTTCGGAAACTAGCCAAACTGCATGTCAGTCAGGAGTTGATAGAGAAAGCTGCAATAGAATACTGTGAGAAGTCTGGCCGTGCTGACGAGCGTATCTGTAAGCTGATTATACCCGAGTTCAAGGTAGAGTACAATTATCAATTTCATTTTCAATATACATAAAAACTTAAAAAATGAATATTCATGTGTAGGATGAGGTTCTCTATGTGTTCGATCATACTGCTCTTTCCTCGCGTGAGATCTGTGGCACCGTTCTAGATGACAAGTGTGGCTCAACGTATGATCCTTTTAATCAACAATGGAATGTCACCATACCTGGTGGCAAACCTCCCATTAAACCATATCATCCTCCAAAAGTATGTGTACATTAACTACTATATAATTAAATTAGTCTTCCTTATGATCACATGCAGATTACTTATGCTAGTGACATAGATAATGATTCATTTCATTTTTGTGTATGCACACAGTTGATTGGAGTGTATTGTAAACCCACTACTAATTACCGTAGCTGTTTAATGTCATTGTCATGTGATGAATGTTGTTCTATTATGTATATCAATGTTTTGATCATAGTGTTATAGTTTGTAGAGCTTGTGAATGATATTAATTTATAAATTTACTAAATGAAAGTATTCGTTTTCTTGTTATTTAAAATTTTTTTCTAAGAAATAATTATTATTGTAGCCGTTTAAAAATGTTATTGCTGTAAGATGAATGCTACTCTATTGTGCATATCAATGTAATGAGAACTTTTATCATCGTAACGATAAAGTTTGTGATTTGATGAATGAAAGTGTTCATAAAGTGTCTTGTTATTCAATTTCTTATGAAAGCTATGCAAGCGCAGCGAGTCCACTCATTTTTATAGGTGCCAATTTTATTACCACAGCTTATAGTAATACCCAGCGTACATAATTTTATGTATAATCACTGTAACAGTTCTTACTATAATCAATCACTAATTTTGATAACTTCGCCCCAATAGGTAAACATTACTAACAGAATTCTTCATATTTCTGATATTCATTGGGACCCTCAGTATACTCCTGGCCTTCAAGCTCGTTGTGATGAACCATTATGCTGTAGACCACCACTACCAAAAGGTATTAATCTTATGCATATATGTATTTCTATCTGTACATGATTGTGATAAAATCTAATTGAATGAAAATTTTGTTTAATATTATAATTATTATAAACAGTGTCATATTTTTTGTTGTTCTATTTGACAATAGGAGATCCAAACAACTCAGCAGGTGCTTGGGGTGATGCTCACTGTGATATACCACTACAAACTGTTGTAAACTTAATGGAGCATCTCAATGCAACACAAGATCAAGTGAGATGGTGTTATTGTTGCTTACAGTTGCTGATAAATTTCCTCAAAATAGTTTGAATGGATTTACATGACTGGCGACTTGCCAGCTCATAATGACTGGAGCCAAACAAGATCAGGCCAAGTTGATATTTTTAACAAAATGATTGACTTATTTAATGAGTATCTTCCTAATAAACCTGTGTTCTATTCATTTGGTAATCATGAGAGCGATCCAGTCAACAGGTATAACAACAAACATGTACATGCTATTGCTATCAATGGTGTGTACTGTATTCTTTTATTTTAGTTTCCCTCCAAATTATATCACTGGGTCTAACTCCATTTCATGGTTATATGATGATGCTGCTGACAAGTTAAAGAAATGGCTTAACACAACTGATGCATATAATACATTTAAAAGGTTCTTGTAATACCTATCATTGCTCCAATTTATTATTTTTATTTGTAGTGGTGGTTATTATTCTGTCGATTACAATGGAATAAGAATTATTTCATTACAGACAAACTATTGTAATAAACAAAACTGGTGAGTGATAGTATATTTTGTCATACCTTAAGGAGACAATTGTTTGCGGGTATTTAATTTAGCGAATTTTAGCGATTTTAAAAAAATCGCTAACTTAAGTCTGCGCTAATTTTAATTTTTAATTGAAAGTGGGTGTGGTTACAATGAATAAAATGGCGGCCGTCGCAAGTCTGAGTTTATTTGCAGCAAAGGGTCAGCAAGATAATACTGAACTGCTGTCCAAAGACTTCTCTAGCAGTTAGCCTAGGTTAACAAAGCAGATGACAATCTTCTTCGTTCAGTTACTGCTTCTAACTGTAAGCAAGATAACTTTACATGTTAATGGCTGCAGAGTCAGTGATGAAGCAGTTTAAGCAAGATTAATGCAACAAGATCTACTGTATTAGTGTATTTAGACTTGTGCAATTGCTTTGCTTGCTCATACATGTAAATCACAGCACATAATCTATAGCTTGCTTAGGCTCACCCCCGCTTTAATTCTTCTAGAAGTTATTAATACCAAATGGTCAAAAACGCTAAATTAAGTACCAGCCAAATGTCAGTACCATGAAAATCGCTAAAATAAGTACACGCTAATAATTGTCTCCTTAAGGTAGTCTAGTTTTAGTAACTTTTAGGTGGTTGCTGATCAATGGGACTGATCCTGATGGAATGTTACAATGGTTTGTTGAGAAGTTACTTGATGCTGAGAAGAAAGGAATGAAGGTTCATGTACTGGGCCATATCTCACCAGGTGATGGTGCTGACTGCTCTAATGCTTGGAGTGCAAATTATAAGAAAATTGCATTGAGGTATTTTTTCGTGTTTTTTAAATCAAAATTTAATTGTTTATAAATGATTTAGATTTGAGAGTACCATTGCTGGCCAGTTCTTTGGGCATTGTCATGAGGACAGGTTTCATCTTATGGTGGATTTTGAAGCCAACACTCCTCCTAGACCATATGGGTAAGATACAAAGAAATATCTCATTAATTAAATCTTTGTATAGTATATTGTATTTAGGCCCTAGTGTAACCACTTATACTGAGCAGAATCCAGGATACAGAATTTATACTGTTGATGGTAATTACAATGGGTCCTCTAGACAAGTACTGGATCATGATACATACATACTAAACATTACTGATGCTAATCTTACTAATAAACCAAAATGGATCCATGAATACTCAGCTAAAGTAAGACAATGAGTATTGTAATGATATATTATCATGAACATATAGGATGCATACAATATGACTAATCTCACACCTGATAGTTGGTTATCTTTACTGAAGGAGTTTCTCAAAAACAATACTCTATTTTTGAAATATTACCAGTAAGTTTACATATAATTATTACTATGATATTCTACCCATTTACAGTTATTTTTTCAAGTCATACAATATGGAGTCTCAGTGTAATGGAAACTGTCAGAAACAGAATACCTGCAATTGTTTGACAACTTTCAGCAGTATTTATGCATGTCATGCTATCACTGAAGTACCTTTGACTAAAGAAGAGATATATGAGACAATGTTATATGAAAAATCCCATGACCACTGTTAATTAGAATTTATATTTTTATTATATACATGTAGATTGTGTGTTTTTCAATAAATCATACAATGGCATTAGTTATCATCGCTGCGGCTTTTAATAAAATTATAAGTTGTTCACAATCCTGTTTAAAATGAGGTCATTGTTATAGTGATAATATATTCATCGCATATATAGGCGTTAACTATTATTATTACTATTATTATTATAAATTTTATAGACAGAGACAACGGGGAGTGAGAAGGACAGAGAAGATAGAGGAAACAGAAGGATAGTCTGAGGGGATATGGTTTACTCGAAACTGCACCCTGAGAAAAATAATTAATGAGAGAGAGAAGAACAGGTAGGAATGAGAGAACATTTATAGCAAGGACAGATAAAGTGATAAGTGCATGCATTGTTAGAATCAAAATTATTTTAAAATGATTAATCATAATGGTTATCTAGTTAATGACGAGTTTCCGGGGAATTGTCTGGCCATTGATGTAGTAGGAGGAGAGTGACGCATTGAGCAAAATGTGATTAGTGAAGATTTCTCTAGATTGAAGGAAAGTCTGGAATTTACACTCCATTGTCTAGATGCTATTTAAATCTTCTTGCAATGAGTCACAATCATCAAAAGATTCCACTATCTTGCTGCATTTGCTATCATCTGCAAACAAATACATTGAGGAAAGATTTGCCATTAAGGGAAAGTCGTTTATGATAAAAAGGAGTGGTCCTAACAGACTCCCCTGCGGGACTCCAGACACTACAGGTAGTAAGCCAGACTTACTGTTGTGTATTGAGACACATTGAAGACGAGATGAGAGGTACAGAATATCAAGAAAAATTACGTCTATCTGGCATTTGTTAGAGAAAGAATCAAATAGATCTATTGCTGAGAGATAGGCCACCAATTGTTGGAGTAGGTCGATTTTTAAGAAAACCAAATTGACGTGGAGAAACAAAATGAGGCTGGATAAAATCAGCTATCTTGTCAAAAATAATTTTCTCCAAAACTTTGGAAATACAACATAGGAGAGAGATGGGCCTGTAATTAGTTACGGAGCTCTTATTACCAGATTTATGAATAGGGGTTATTAGGTGGGTCCTCCATTCTAATGGAAGGTATGACTGAGCAAAACACTGAACAAAAAGATGGTGTATGGGCTCACAAAGAGGCGTGGCACAGGATTTTAGAAGGTGAGCAGGAATACCATCTATACCTGTAGCTTTAGATGGGTTGAGAGAGACGAGAGCAGACAAAACGTCTTCGATGGAGATTTCAATTGAGTCCAGAGTCTGAGCAGGGGTTTGAAGTGAGAAGAGAACAGATGCATCATCAGGTAGGAATACTGAGTGGAAAAAGGTATCAGTGATCTAGAACAATTGTTTTTACCAGTTACTTTACACATGTGCATGGTTGGGTGTTATAATTAAATTGTGTACATTCAGGAGAAATCTTCTACCTATTTCTTTATTGGCCAATTTTTTGTTTTCACATTGTTTAATTTCCCTCTTTTTGTTTTTCAGGAACTCCAGACAACTCAGCAGGTGCTTGGGGCGATGCTCACTGTGATGTACCACTACAAACTGTTGTAAACTTAATGGAGCATCTCAATGCAACACAAGATCAAGTGAGACAAAATACATGTATAGTTCTTGATGCCATATTTATTGGTATCTCTGTTATAATAGTTTGATTGGATTTACTTGACTGGAGATTTACCAGCTCATAATGACTGGGATCAAACTAGAGCTAATCAAACTTTAATTTTTAATAAACTCATTGATTTATTTGATCAGTATCTTCCTAATAAACCTGTGTTCTATTCATTTGGTAATCATGAGAGTGATCCAGTCAACAGGTACAAGCTATTTATAGTATTATTGTGTTTTTGATTCTGTTAAATTTTTAGTTTTCCTCCATCTTATGTCACTGGATCTAATTCGATTTCATGGTTATATGATGATGCTGCTGACAAGTTAAAGAAATGGCTGTACACAACTGATGCATATAGTACATTTAAAAGGTTCTTATTATTTTTAATAATAGTTTTAACAAGTCTTTTTTGTAGCGGTGGTTTTTATTCTGTTGATTACAATGGAATAAGAATTATTTCATTACAGACAAACTATTGTAATAATCAAAACTGGTGAGTGATAGTATATTTTGTCATAGTCTGGTTTCAGTAACTTTTAGGTGGTTATTGGACTCGCCACGCTTGCGTAGGCGGGTACTAAGCAGTTGGGTTGTCATTCTGTCCACACATATCTTTTTGTCTGAGCAGTCTAGAGCTATATTTCTTCTTCTAGCAACAGATAAAGTTGCTTTCTTTCATTTAGTTATGCTCTTGTAGCATCCCATGGCCGATGGCACGGGCCAAAAGCTGTGAACTCAGTGCTAAACCAGGGGACCTCTCTCCAAGTGAGAGCTTGTGTTTCACTCTACAGGGCTGAGATTTGCTTCAGAGGTAAAAAATCTCATCTAACAAAAAACTAAAAGAACAATTTTGTCCTAACTTCATTGTTTGTGAGTTACAGTTGCTCAAAGTTTGTGATTTAGCCTCTTTGAAAATTTTTCAGACGTTACTAGAAAAATCAGGAGCAACCAAACTCTCTCAGTGTCTTTTAAATATCTAGGAAAATTTTTTGTGCCAACTCTTTCTTTGAATAGACCTTCAGATGCTAAAATAAATTTCAGCTTTTCTTCTTTCTCCTACCCATGTGCCATGATTTCTTGACCACACCCATAGCTTATTTTTAATTATCATTATAACTATGCAGTCAATAATAATTTTTTCAAATTGCTTAAAATATCACAGTACAAGTAACAGTTGTGACTTGTGACACATATCACTCAGGTGAATTCCAGCTGGCGAGTCCATTGCACCATAGTGCTTCATTGATCAACGGTACTGATCCTGATGGAATGTTACAATGGTTTGTTGAGAAGTTACTTGATGCTGAGAAGAAAGAAATGAAGGTTCATGTACTGGGTCATATCTCACCTGGTGATGGTGCTGACTGCACTAGTGTTTGGAGTACAAATTATAAAAAAATTGCATTGAGGTAAAATCAGATTGTTTTTTATGCTCAATTTGGCAAGCCTTATAAAAGAACAAAACTTTTGGAGCAACTTTGAAAATTTATAGAATAACAATTTATCTCAATGGAAATAAAATGTTTGTGTTTTTAAAAAATGCAGAATCCTCCTTACCATTTTGATTGAATTCGGCTAAAGACACTGTACATACATGTAGTGCATGGTCTTTAGCCTATTTTTGGAGAAACTGTAAAAATTTGTAAAAAAATTAATTTTGATTGAAATTAGCCGAAACTTTCTAAACAACATAAGTACATGCATATGCATCAGATAATTTTTTTTAATGGAGAATTCTCTCCTTGACATTTTTGACAAAATTTGGCCAATGACCGTGTACTATAATACAGGGACTTTTTGTCAAATTTTAGAGCAACTTTTAAAATTTTGTAAAAAATTAATTTTTATGAAAATAGTTAAAGCAACATAAGAACATGTATATGTATAGAAAAATAAAGAATTTTCTTTTTGCAACTTTTGATGAAGTACCATGGACTATGCCCAAGATAATTTTTAGAGCACCATACTGTAAAAATTTTAATATACCAAATCCTGTGGTTTTATGCCAGTGGTTTTATGTTAGCTATTTGCTATCCATAGTTCTTTTATGAAAAAGTTGTATGCCCTCAATACATGTATTGTATATGAATAGACACAATAGAGTCCATTGTTATTTACTTGTACACTTATGTACCTTTAGGTTTGAGAATACCATTGCTGGTCAATTCTTTGGACATTGTCATGAGGACAGGTTTCATTTTATGGTGGACTTTGAACCCAACACTCCACCTAGACCATATGGGTAAGAAAAGAAAATACACAAACTATTTGATTATTAAAAATTTTTCTTGTAGTATATTATACCTAGGTCCTAGCGTAACCACTTATTCCTATCCAGGGGCGGATCTAGGGGGGGTTTGTTAGTCTCGCGTAGCNCAGAAANANTAANTATGATTTTGATATTGAAAGCGAAAGAAGTGATTCAGAACTGGAGGAGAGAGGAGGGGGAGGGACTAAGAAGACGAAGAATAGCAAGTTTTATACTGCGAGGGACAGTGACTCTGATTTTGAGGTTAGATACATATACAATGTACATTGTTTTATGTGTACATTATGCACATTAAACTCCCTCCCCCCCTCTCTCTCTCTCATGTTACAATTGCATAAATTCCTTTTAATTTTATTGCATGTACGAGCTTGTGCATTTAGATTG